TATGCATCCGCACATGGAGCAAATAGATGCAATCTTGCTTTGATAACTTCAGTAACCTCAACTTTGCCAGTAGTATTGGGGGGAACACAACTGGTTGTAAAATTGCAGGGTTTAATTTGCAGAGAGGTTATTTTAGCATATGTACTTTTACTTTCTGAAGTCAACTAGGTTTTTACAAGAATCTTTTCATTATTATCCTTATTATTTAGATGTGATAAAATTATATGGAATAGTTGTATTTGACTGTGCAGTTGCTAGCTATAGTGATAGTGCTTTGAAATCTATGTTTCATTTAATTAAATTTCCAAGTCTCCTTTTCAGGTATTTTTAATGTCTGTCCTTATGCAGATAACCTGAATGCTGTTTAAAATCCACAGGTCCCTGCTTTATATAGGTTTATGTTAATCAGTCTTTGTTTTAGAAATACGACATTCTGAAGTGACTTGGTAGACTGAAAATGAAACAACTATGCCTGAAGTCTTTTCTGGGAAGTTCTTCTTCTAGTGGATTATAACTATAGAAGGTAATAAAACTATTTGTATAAATGGATTAGGCACCAAAACCTTCAGAAAAGCTGCTTTTCTGAGATCCGGAACTCTTTGTCCTTAATCCTGTGAGATCTTCATATTCCCACAAAAAGCTGGTAATGTATATTCCCACAAAAAGCAGGTAACCATAATGCGGTTCCTGTTGCAGGAGTGCTGACAGTCTGGGTCCAGCTTGTGGGATGGTTCGGTGCTCTGAAAGCTGCTGCTATGTCTTCATTCTACGAGAGGAGAGGATTGCTGTCACTCGACTCTGGGAACTGTTCTACAGAAGTGCCTCAAAATTGTCAGCTAAATCACAGCACTGAAAAGCTGAGACCACTTAAAATGCTGTAAATTATATGTGTATAAATAGAGGAACAGAGTCAGGGGTTGTGGCATGTTTGGAGATCCTCACTTAACTGCAGAAGATGAAGAGCTCCTTGTAGCAATCAAAGTGGTTATGGCTTCTAGGCAGTTTACCTGCTACTTGAAGCCCTATTGAATTTACTGGGAAGAGGGAAGTCATGGAACTTTTGAAAATAATTTTCTACCTCAGTTGTGGTTAGGGCAAGGCTACAGGGCACTCTTGCCGTAGCAGCTGCAGCATGGCAGTGAAGAACAGCTTTTGGGGGTGAGGTGGTGCAAAATGAAGGTAGGAGAGGAATAGCTGCCTAGAGTATTTATTGCATGCTGTGAGCTAGCATGCACAGAGCTATGCGTCGGTTTGAATAAGAAGCCAGTTGAGAGCTTATGGGTCAGGATTAACAGGATCACCAATGCAGAAGACATTGTGGTAGGTGTTTGCTGCAGACCACCTGATCAGGAAGAAAAGGTTTTCTTCAGACAGCTGGAAGAAGCCTCACATTCGCAGGCCCTTGTCTTCATGGCGGGGCTTCAACCACATCAATATCTGCTGGAGGGACAGCACAGGAGAGCACAAACAATTCAGGAGGATTCTGGAATGCCTTCATGGTAACTTCCTGACACATGGGTGGTTGAGGAGCAGAAGAGGAGACGTGCTGTGCTGGACCTCATACTTACAAGCAAGAAAGAACTGGTTGGAGATGTGAAGGTTGCAGGGGGAAGCCTTGGCTACAATGACCATGAGAAAGTGGAGTTGAGGATCTTGAGAGGAGAAGCAAGACAAAAAGTGGGATCACACCCCTGGACTTCAAGGGAGACCACTTTGGCCTGTTCAGGCCAAAATCTGCTTGGAATAACCCCATGGCATGGGATACAGTCCTGGAATGAAGAGGGGTCTAGGAGAGCTCAAGATTGATCTGTCTTCACTTGCAGGAATTTACATTATCATAAATCTTCATATTAAGACTGCCAGGGAAGAAATGTTTTCTTGATTATGTTTTGAATATGCAGCAGCCAGAATCTAGTCAGGAGGTGGGAACTCATTGTGCAGCTGTGGCTTTCAAACTTCTTTATTCAGCAGTTCCTTATGCTTGGTGACTACCATCAGACTCCATACTTGCTATTGAGAGGGCTCGATGCTGCTCCCTGTGATAGCATCTCCAGATGCTCCTACAGAAAGTGGCTTGCTCATTGCTGAATGATTGCTAATCTTTGACCTTCTCCATGCCAGTTTAAATCTTTGGCTTTCATCTTATACTGCCATGTTGGTATAGGACAATACTACTTATTTTAGGACCATACCACTGTGTTGCAGTGCTTTACTTCAGGCCATGGCTTGTTTCCTTCATCTCTCGGTGCTGATAAATCCACAGCCTTGGCAGCAACTCCCATTGCTAGTGTTCTTTTGCAGGGTTTTGGGGAGTGTTTTCCTAGAAGGTGGTGCAGGTGAGTTGCTACCTTGGCATATCTGAGAATGGATAGGAAGAACCTGGGTAGATGCCAGTATTTAAATATAGGCAAATGAAGTTGTGCGCCTAGAGCATGGACGTGTGTGGGAGCACAGATGGTGGATAGCGTGGTGGGAAAGGCCTGTACAAAACCACAAAGACACTGGATTTAAACAGATAAAACTCCCCAGCTTTCCATGTACCGGCGTTCAACAGGTTGTGTCATATGAGTGCAACTTTTTAACCAGGGGCAACTGGACCTCAATCACCTTGTCTGGGTATCAGTGTTGTCTTCTAGGGAGAGAGTCTAGTACATGTTTATCTTTGTGTGGTTCTTTAAGAGTTCATAGGCTGGGCAAGTAGCTGCTATGTGTTCTCTGAACATGTATTTGAATAGTGTAGTACCTTTAAGCCTAATACCTTTAATTTTGAATTGAATTGAATATTGTAATACCTTTAAGCCTTTAATTCAATACAACTCTTCCAGGAGGTGGGTTTTAAAAATTAACAACTGTCCTGTTCTGATCAGGCTGTTAAAAAAGATGTCTAATAAAGTTTAAATTGGAAGTCAGATTAGTAGCAACCTTGTTCAGGTGTTCAGGCCTTGGAATAAAGGTGTACTGTTCACTGCAAATGAGAAGTGTGATCTCTACAAAAAGGGCACAGAAATATACAGTGTCACTTAAAATGCGTAGAGGTGTATGCTAACCTTTTTGCACTGGTTCTTTGAGAGAGACTGTGGTAGCTTTAAAACTGTATCTCACCTGCTCACTGTTTGATCTTCTCTTTCTCAGGGTAAACAGAATAGTTTCAGACCTCTCCAGGCTCCATAACTGACAGCAAGTGAGGTTCCCGTTTAATGGATTGTTTAGAGCTTAATTTTCCCCCTGTTCTTCAGGGAATTGGTGTCTCTGAGAAAATAATTGCATGCTTGATAAGGACAGAAACTTTATTGCAGTGGTCCAACAATCTGAATACAATTGTGACACTATACCAGAAACTTCAAGCAAATGGCCCATTCAGAAACCTTACGTAACCATGGCAGGTTTGAGTTTCCAGCAGATTTGAGTTTGCCTTTTTGATTATCGTCTGATGTGAGAGGAGGCTTAGAGTTTCAAGTTCACAATAAACCTATTCAGAGCAACTCTTTTATTGGCTTGAACAGTATCTGCAGAGTTCTCTTCATCTTTGGCTTTACTAAAAGAAACTATTTAAACTTAACCAACAAGCAGGGATCCTGGAATTATAAGCAGAGTATCATTTTGTTTTGATAAGGCTGTCTATTACTTTGGGCTCTATCTGGAGTTCTTAAATGACCCTGTTTATCTCTTCTGCATCCTGGAACTTTTAGTACTGTTCCATGCAACTTGCTTATTTTTTTAAGACTTCAAATTACTTTTAACCCATTTACTTAAAAACGCTGGCCCTGGGCATTTGTGCCACAGAGTCTGTCTGAAGCTGCAGGTATTAAATGTAAATTTTGGATTATATTAAAGGTATAGCCTTTTTCCCTACCTTCATGTGCAGTTCAGCATAAAAGGAAGGACAGAATGAAGTACTGACAGGTGGGGGAAGGTTAGAGTTGGAAAAGAGCAGGTATTTTCTGTGTGTTTTAAGGGGAAAGCTGAGGTTTTACAAGTGTGGGATCCTGTTTGGATTTTTTTAAACCCTTCCAAAAAACCCAGAAAACAAACTGGCTTTGTTCCCCTGTTTTCTTCTTGTAGACTGAAGTCTTTTCGGTTGATTGTGGGATCCACTGTAGTTACTCTTCCATGTCCTCGTTGCTCCCAATCTGGTGGACTCCTGCATGCTCTCCTTCAGGCAGCTCCTGGGGTTAACGTTGAAATTCTAGTGACTGTGGATGAGCTCTTGGCTCATACATGTGAAATTTCACACAATACTGCAGAGCTGAACGTGCTCAATAGCTTTGGGAGAAGTTCTGATAGCATGCATTCTACTTCAGACATATTTCTCAGAGTTCAAATGAATGGAGATGTTTAAGCTTTTTAAATGTGAGGGTCAGTGAGAGGTGTTTCAGTGCAGGTTCCAGAACTGTGCCTTGGAATCTTCTGCCATAGTTCTGGAGATTGTAAGTTTGTCTTCTTTTGAGATACAGCTGTTAATTTCCATTTTGTCTGAGAGAGAATACTGACTTCTGTCATATGAGATTCTCTTAAAAAAAAAAAAAAAAAAAAAAAAAAAAAAAAAAAAGAGACACAT